TGCGGTACTGAGAGGTTCCTCAGCAGAGGAAAGGCTTGACATGGGCCCTAATAGGACCTACCTGGCCACCTGAGGAGGCCTGAAGAGGGCACTCCAGGAAGTATGAAAAACACAGGCAAAGGAACAAAAAAGGAAGTTTAACATGGAAAATAATTTTGGGGATGCAATATCTATTTTGCATTTTATTATAAAATATTCCAACCCATATGATACCCTAAATTTAACATCTAGGTTTCCACAACCTTTTTCCTTTTTAAAGCCTATGTATTTTGGCCAGGCACAGTGGCTCATGCCTGTAATCCCAGCACGTTTGGAAGCTGAGGCGGGCTGATCAATTGAGGTCAGGAGTTTGAGACCAGCCTAGCCAACACGGTGAACCCCGTCTCTACTAACAATAAAAAAATTAGCCAAGCGTGGTGATAAGCACCTATAATCTCAGCTCTTTGGGATGCTGAGGCAGGAGAATCACTTGAACTCGTGAGGGGGAGGTTGCAGTGAGCTGAGATCATGCCACTGCACTCCAGCCCCGGTGACAGAGTGAACCTCTATCTTAATAAAATAAAAAATAACAAAGTCTTTGGGCTTAAAATATTATGTATTTTAGTAGTTTCTCACAGTTAATGGCAACTGACTTCCTGGAGTTTTCCTTCCAAATCCAGAACAAGCCAAACTGAGCAGCGAAGTGGGGGTGGAACAGCCTACTGGTTGGCAGCTTCTCCATAAAAAGATTAAAATTTGTTACTAGAGAGTGTGCTAGACTGTCAGGAAGGCCAGATTCTAGTTCCAGCTTTGGCAATAACTCACTTCCTGTATGGCCTTTGTGAGTCTCACTTCACATGGGGGAAGAAAATGAGGGAGCTGGACCATGTATATAATTATAAATATGTGTATATATTTATAATTTGTTATTGATAATATTTTATTTTATATACTATTATAATTATACATAATTAGGGTCATTATATATTTCATTGTGTAAACAAGGACCTTTTGAGAGTCAAAAAGAGAATCATTCATAATTTCACCAGGACAACAGACCTAAACTTGAATCACTGATTCTGGGAAAACCAAGATGTCTGATCACCTTACCTATATGCTTTCTTCAGCTCAAAATTCTATCCTCCTCTAGAAACACCCATGGGTCCCTTCATCATGCTCTACAGCTGGCTCAGTGCCTGGCACATCCCAGATGCTCACTATTTGCCTCATCTCCTTTCGGTGAGCATTTCTGCATTCTTTATGTAATCAAAGCCATTGATTTTTCTTCCACAATTTCATTGTCTTCTGAAGTCAAACTGTCCTTGTGCCAAACAGCTGCACCCCTCCTACTGCTGATTTTACATGTGGTATATCCTCTGGTGGCCTTTAGTGACAACAGGTTTTCAAAGAAGATAAATATTTAGGTGTAAAATTCATTATTTTTCAGGTCAAGGAGTAAGTAGTGAAAAGATATACCTGACTGGTCTGAAGTTCTTCAATTACTTAAGGCTAGAGCGGTGGTCAAAACCTTGTTTCTTCAGCTAGATTGCCAATGAACCATATTAACCACACAGACATAAAAGAAAGAAAACCTAAACAATATATACTTACTGATGCATTTCACAAATTTTGGAACACATTCTATGCACGTCAAAGCTCTAATTGCTCAAAACTAGGTATCCAGAGCTAACCTGCATATTTGCAAACATGGCATGTAACAATTTGCCAGGTTTTTTAATAGTCTTTTTTTTTTTTTAAAGAAAGTGAGTCTTTAGTTGTTAAATATATTTTTCAACACCAATACTATTCTATGTCTTAAAAGCATGTCCATTTATTTACTTCTCAACTGTAATTGAGGGTGGGGGCAGGGAGAGCAAAGAGAATGAGAGAGTCACTCCTTCTGTACCCAAGGAGACCTCTGTCCCATGCCCCTTCTGGAATGTCCTCTTGCTATTAATTAAAGAACTACAAATATGAGTCAGACCCATGGGTTTCCAAGTGACATGACTAAATATTCTGAGAACATGTCTGATTGAGGAAACGAACAACCATTCAGTCTTTGGCAAGATTAAAAGGCAAAAGGATGGAACAAATGCTACAGAATGTCCCAGGAAAGGATTTAGCCTTGGCGTGAAAATAAACTGGACGTGTCAGTTCACCTCCTACTCTCTTGGAATCATCTCAGAAACGAGTGGTGGAGATTACATAAATTATGAATGAGACAGTCAGGAAAATCTCTGTTGAGATGTTGGCAAAGTCTGAATAAAGAACAAACAAGCCTTGTAAACTGAAAGAAAAGGAAAACACAAGGCAAAACCAGCAACACTTTCACCATTACTAACTATATGGGGAAAGGGAAGTCACTAGTTTCTGAGAATTCTCTAGAACACTGGAAAAGTACTAATTTCCAAAGTGTTTAAGTCGTTCTCATCCTTAAAGTCATATAAAATTGAAAGCACAGGCATACTAAAAATTCTGTTTTGAGGAAAAGTTTCCCCAGACAAAGGAAGTCTAGGTTTGTCCTCACTGGCGAAGGGGTTTAAACCACTTTTGGAATTCAAGTAATGCCTCCCCTTGGCCCTGGTCTTGGGTATGTCACTTGCTGGTTACCTCACAGACAAGCAAGCACACGCCCACCCAAGCTCACCTCCCCAGAGCTGCAAGCTTGAAATGCCATCAGCGCTTTCCAGCACCTTTAGGGGAAGAACTCTGAGACCTCAGAGAAAGGCATTTGTTTGTTTTGTAAACAAACACATGAAGATGAAGTTCCTTTTCTTTTTTTTTTATGGTTGCTACCTAGGGTGATTGTTGCTGAAGGTTTGTGTGGCTGTGGCCATTTCTTAAATTAAGACCACAATGAAATTTGTTGCATCAATTGACTCTTTCACTCATGAAAGATTTCTGTATAGCATGCAATGCTGTTTGATAGTATTTTATCCTCTGTAGAACTTCTTGCAAAATTGGAGTCAATCCTCTCAAACTTTGCTACTGCTTTATCAATTCAGTTTACACAATATTCTAAATCCTCTGTTGTCATTTCAACAATGCTCGCAGCAACTTCACTTTCTTTGCTCATCCTGAAGAAGCAACTCCTCATTTGTTCAAGTTGTATTATAAGATTGCAGCAATTCAGTTGCATCTTCAGTCTCCATTTCTAAATCTAGTTCTCTCACTGTTTCCATTGCATCTGCAGTTGCTTCCTCCACTGAAGTCTTGAACCCCTCATAAGTCATCCATGAGAGTTGCAATCAACTTTTCCCAACTCCTGTTCATGTTGACATGCTGATCTCCTCCCATGAATTATGAATGTTTTTAATGACATTTACGACGGTGAATCTTTTCCAGAAGACTTTGCCCAGATCCATCAGAGGAATCACTCTCTACGGTTAGCCGTAGCCTTATGAAATACATTGCTTTTTTCATTACCTCGGTGAACTCTCCAGTTCATTTGGAATATTCTATAGCTTTCACCAACCTGTCTTTGTTTTTCTCCAGCCTGTGAAATGTTACTTCTAGTGCCAAAAGATATGCAATAACTTGACATTTTATGCGGATGCCTTGTAATTTTCACATTTTTCTTATGTCTCTTGACAAAGATTCTTTGCTTGGCCAAACTTTAGTTTAGATTCTTTGCTTGGCCAAACTTCTCCTAGGCTCATCTGTACACTTCTTCATAAAATCCAGTTTCAGCAAAGAACCCTACTAAGTCAGCTTGGCAAGAATATCCCCTACTCCATCCTCAATATCTGATAATCAGATTCATTATTCTCCATCATCCCAGAGGTTATGATGTCTAATTACTCTGGCCTGTCTTCAGCAAGAATCCTGTTTGGTTAGTTTAGCCAGAATCGCCCTTATCCCTGATATTTCCTCTTAGTGAGTTTCCATCCACTGACCTCCATCCTGCTCCATGGCTGTAAATTCCCACTGGCCCATGCTGGATTCGAAGTTGAGCCCAATCTGTCTCCCCCACTGAAGACCTTGCTGCAATGGTCCTTCCACCTATTAAGATGATCTTGAATAAAGCCAGCCTTACTGTGCTTTAGCAAGTGTCCTTGAATAATTTTTCTTTAATATTTTCTTTAATCATCTAGGAACACTGATAAAATCTGTCTTAAGGCGAAGATACCTCTCTGGGATCACTTTCTCTAAGATCTTCCTACAGTTTTAGGGTTGTTACTCATTAGGTGCCGATCCATTTGAACCACATCATTTAGGAACTTTGGCAGACATGGAGTGGGAGGCAGGAATCTGACAGGACAAAGAATTAGGGAACTTCTCCTTTCCCTCCACTGCTCCACTCTCTGACCCAATATAACATCTGCCCATGATGATTATTGCAAGAGTAAGTTTCCAGTTTCTAAACAAATAAATTGGTCAGTTAGCTTTAAAATCACCACCAAAAAATCACGAAGGTGAACTTGAAAGTTAACCCTCACTGCCATTCATCCAATGCGAGAACTAACTGCACACTAACTGCTGGCGAAACTGCAGGCACAAACAGGATGCCTGTTTTGGTCTTGCATAAGCTCTGGATTAGAAAGAGGATTTATCAGTATATTTCCATAAACTGGGTAGCTCTTTTGACAGAAATCATTGGGCTTTCTGCTCTCTGGTTGAAGGTAGGTGACTGAGAAACGACCTCAATTCCATTACCTAAGAGGGCTTATGGCCTAGACTCAAACTACCAGTTGAGTCATATTCCCTAAGGATAGTGTATCATATTCTTTGTCAATAAAAAAAGTAAAATGATTTTTAAACCACTCTATAAAAACACCTAAAGCACAGTGCATCTCTCAGGACTTATAGGGACAAAAATAACAACATCCATCTCCTATAAGACGATTACAATGAAAAGAAGAACATCTGTAAAAAGCACCCAGTCGTAGCGCTTAGCGAACAGTAGGTGCTCAACAAAAACATGAATAGTAGCTGCTGTTTTTAGGGAGTCTGTAAACCAAAGGAAATCAGGTCAGGGAGATACCATCAGATATTCCGATCCTTTCCCCACATATACTTACTGCGTCTCAGCTCCTAGCAGCATTTCCACTTTCTCATTCGCATGGTTACTAAGGACTGTCAGAGTAAAGAGGTGACTGGCAGAGCTCTGTCTTGAATAGAGCATTGTGGAACTGTTCTTCCCTGGAGAAGAATTAAGCTCTTCATTGTCACAAGATTCCACCAAGAGCTGATCTCTTAAGGAATAATCATTGACGTTATAACTTTCTTCACTATAAAGGAAAGGGAAAAGAACATGTCAATTATTCAGCCAGATAAGACTGTGACATTGTCAGTTTTCAAGGCACATTTTGGTGGAAACAGCAAGGAGTAGGCAGGAAGGAGAGGGAGAGAATGACTTATTTTAAACTATGAATTGGAATTCAAATTCTATCTACTGATTATGAATCAATGTAACCCCCTCCAATTAAACCTAATTACTATTTTTATGTATGTAACATACTAAATTGCATCTCAAGTATAAAAGTAATACGAAAAAAAAAAAAATGAAACCCTCTAGGTTTCATTTGACCTCATCCTGGAACTGTTATAATAAGTGGTCCTTGCATCCTTGCATGCATCTTGGTAATGCTCCAGCAGGTATACCTCCCCAGCTTCCACATCTCTATTTGTAGAATGAAGGAGGAGCCCCAAATCTACTCATGCTCTGGGAAACAAGACCTCACCCCCCAAACTCCCCATCTCCAAATGACCATGCATTGGAGAGAAGAGTCCCAGAGGTCTGCTTGTTTCTGGCAAGACACCCAACCCATTCTTCTGTCCCACACTCAGAGCCTCACCACCTGTTTCAGAAACCACTAGGACTAATCTCATTATGCCCTCTACTCCTGATTAGGCTCAGGACCCCCAATATCCTTCTTTCTCCTGCACTCCCATTCCCATCGCACTGTGAACATGCCCAGTCTGGCCCCAACTTTTTCCACTCCTCAGCTGGTTCCTGAACCCTTTCCACTGTACCCTCTGGGAATGCAATTCCTTCATTTAGGGAATCTAGTAAAGTCTTCTAAATACTTGGCCTCATCTCTGAACCCTCCCTTCACGTTCTTGCTTTAAAAGAAACATGTCTCTCCCTAGAGAACAAGGCATCTCCTGAGAGCTCTCTGCCTGCTTGCTTTTTATTCTTGCTTCTAGACAATGATCGCTTCCTCCTCCTGAAACATCATCAGCTTTGAAGCTCATGCCATCAGTCTCTAACTCATAACCACAGTCATTATAGACCCCTGCATCATTCCCGATCCTCTCCCTTGAGTTTCACTGCTGGCTCTCTGTCTTTCTCCAATTATACTTCACACACACACACACACACACACTCTCTCTCTCTCTCTCTCTCTCTCTCTCTCTCTCTCTCCTTCTCTCTCTCTCGGTCATTTACATCAAGTCCCCAACACTACTTCTTTCTTGAACTCTCCTGTAAAGGATCTTTCCACTACCCCGTACCCTCAATTCCCTGACTTTACTCTCCTTCAATGATCTTGTTTTCTGCCCTACTTCAGCCACAAATCCATGGTTACACCTTAGTCCTTGTCATTACCATCAACTACAATCTCTCTGTAATCGCAGTGTCAAACGTACCTCTCTCTAACCAGCACAGCCTTTCTTTCCAACTCTCCTCCTCTAATCCTCAACACCAACCATTATTTAACCCACCAGTTCTTACAACCCATTGACTCTACAACTTTTCCCCCTGTCCTTAATTCCCTCGTGTCCTCTTGTTCATGCATATTAAATTACCTAGCTTGGATTTCTTGGTACCTAGTTAAATCACGTCTTGCATACATGTTCATCTCCTTGACTGTACTTGCCTGGCAAATCCTGAACTTGGTTACACACAGCTTTTCCTCTATTCTGCACCCGCACCCTTGCGGGTGAACATGAGAGTGCTCAATAAATAATTGTCACAAAAGTGGATGAATATGCAATAAATTCTAATATACGCTAGGAATATCGAATAATTGCCTTATTTAATAATAAATGCAAATGAATGATGTCCGGGGAGCTTAGAGAAAAGAAAAATCCTTGTGCAAAGTCAAGTACACTAGGAATTTCAGAACAGGTCACTTTGCTCAAGATTTCTTGGAATTTATTTTCCTCAGAATGGACATCTACCTGTCAACCACTCCCTTGTAATGCTCCTTGAAAAACTTCATTTTTTTTCTCTAAAATTTAGTTTGATAGATTCTCCCCTCAAAAAACAGCAAATGCAGTTATCTATAAAAGCAAAATATTGCCTTCTGATCAAGCCTAATTGTTCCCAAGATAGTAATCTGTATTAATTAAAAGATTGTGTAGCACGATTATCTCCAACGCTCTCCTGAGACTGCCTACAGACCAGCACACCCACACCTGGATATGTCAAATATTTCTCACATCCAAAATGAAACTTATCAAAGTAGACATGATGTTTATAAAAAGAGAAAGGTGAATAACACGCTTTACAAACAAATATGGTTATTTTTTAAAAGACTATGTTTACTAGAAACAAAGCAGTCAATTTTTAGCAGCATAGAACAAGTTTATCATGTTGTATAGATACTATATCAGATATGCATTTAACAGCATAGGACTCAAGATAAAAACCAAAAACCAGGATAAAACATAACAAAACCTCAACAACAACAGCATCAAAACAAAGAGAAAAAGAGGATGAACTGAGGCTTTCTTGTTACTATTTTCTCTCTGACCCTTTTGATTACTCTTTTGGTCCAATTTACAAGTTAAAAAACACAACCTGTTAGTCAAAGGCACCTGTTTCTGCTTAAAAAGTTCTGCTTCAGAAAGATAAATGGAAGCAACCTAATATTGTGAACGTGGGGTAAGGCCCTAAACAATGACATGTGCGTAGGTATCGTAGGTATTTCCCAAGAAATGAAAGCCAAAGAAATGGATATGCTATAAAGTCATCATTTGAGATGACTCAAATTCTAAAAAGTTGTCAACATAAAGTGGTTTCACCTATCAAGTCATCCCAATAGAATTCAAGACCAAGCATTCATAGAAAATGAATATAAGTTAATATGAATAAACCAGTTAAGAGTGTGTGTGTGTGTGTGTGTGTGTGAGTGAGTGAGTGAGAGAGAGGAGATAGAGAGAGAGAATGACGGAGTCTCGCTCTGTTGCCCAGGCTGGAATGCAATGGTGCACTCTCAGCTCACTGCAACCTCCGCCTCCCGGGTTTAAGTGATTCTCCTGCCTCAGCCTCCTGTGTAGCTGGGATTACAGGCATGCACCACCATGCCTGGCTATTTTTGTATTTTTAGTAGAGACAGGGTTTCACCATGTTGGCCATGCTGGTCTGGAACTCCTGATCTCAAGTAATCGGCCTCCCGAAGTACTGGGATTACAGGCCCGATTCACCACACCCAGCCAGCTTTTTTCTCTTTTAATTTTCAGAGTCATCAATGCTTTATTTTTTTGTCTTTGGGAGATAAAGACACAAGTAGATACTTTTTAAAAATGTTTATTAATTGTTCTCTCAAGCAATGACAACTACAATGCCACTGATTAAGACCCAGGATGGCTGCTGGGCTCAGACTATGCCTGTAGTCCTCTCAAATGTCCAGTTTGAATGATAAACTGTGGCTGCCCTAATCATAGCTATATGATTTCACCTCAATTATTTATTTCCACACATCTGCACAGGTGTGCCATTGAATATGCCTGAACAAGGAACTTGGCCCACTGGACTTCCGGGTCCAAAATAAAATGCAGGAAACATGTTGGCCTTTTTGTTTGTTTGTTTTTAAAGTGATTTACTATCATCCAATATCCAACATCATTATTTCGTCTAGGCTAGTAAACTTCTGCATTATGTAATAAATAATGTAGGTGTTTATACCTTCTTTACTGCTCTCCTAGGGAATCTAATATAAAAAGAAATGATTCCATTTAATAGTAGTGAAGTAAACAGATTATTTATCCTTGTTGGCTACCTAATTCAAACCCAGTGAGACAAAAACTGAAAGAAAAAAAGGACTGAAAAAAAAAGAACAAAAACTGAAAAGCAGCTCACTCTTGCTTGTTAGCTCTTGAGTGTTCTCACACACGCACATACACATTCACACACTTGATCTCATGAAGGTTTGAATGAATACTGAAACACTGAATGAAATTCATTCTCTTACTGTCAGCCAGCACCTACTATCTCTCTTCTTAATAGAGAGTAACTATTAAAACATGTGCTTCAGTAGAAAGAGGAGTGGCAACTCTACAGCCAGGTGCAGCTGTTTAAAGCCCATTTCCCATGCCTGCTTACTTATCCCATGTCCAATAAGTATGGAGCAGGCTAAACAGGGTTGGGAAAGAAACCCCCTTCCTGAGGGAAGCTGACGCTAATCAGACTTCCCCATGTTTGTCTCTATCACTTCACAAACATATGGTTTACATAGTCTCTGAAACAATTTGGAACATATAATGAGGAAGTTAAAGTGCTCAGAAAAGGGCAAATGGAAAAACCATCTTTCCTTGCATGGAGAAGTTTATATGGAGACTTCCTTTGATTGTCTTATATGTGCTCCAAGTTTACCAGCTGCTCATCAAGGCGTCTGCTTTGTGCAAGCAGCAGCTCCTATCAGGTGCTTCAACTGAATCAAATCTATAGAAGTCTGTTGCTTGGAGTGTAAACAGTGATGGGTTTCTCTGTTGAAATCCACTTAAGGTCCTAGTAACCTTTGTTGAGATTTCTTTCTTTTCTTGTTTTTAACAACATAAAGAACTACTAGCAGATAACAGGATATGATGGTAAACACATCTAATTATTTTTTTCTCTGGAGGGCATTCTTTGTTAAGCAAGTCAGACAGTGTTTGGTTCTACTATACGCAACGCAACATCAAAGGCAGAAAAATGATACACCTTATTGTAAACACTGGCTTTCTTAAGGAGATTATTATGAAGCCCTTTAAGTTTCTGTCCCATAATTTCTATAAAGGTTAGAATTTTCAGACTGAGCATATATTTATTACTTGGAAATCAGGAAAACATTTAAAACTTTGCGTACAACTTGCATACATTTTTAAAATACCAAAGCTACATATATGTATATGCAGTAGTTAGCACAGGAATAAGAGACGCCAACTTCAGCCGAGTAGGTGCCCTGGGGAAGAGGAGGAAGAAAGGCTGAGGGTGGAAGGACTTTGGGTAATCTCAAGTGTTTTATATAGTTTTTTTTGTTTAAAAGGAGGGATCTGACACTAATATGGCAAAAAGTATCTGTTA